TCTAGTTCGTTAATACACTATACTACTAATAACAATTACAATAATAATGGTTGGACACAACACTATTATATACAAACTTATATATAATAAATGAATGATCATTACTTTTTTACACAATCATTTTTACATTCATTCATTTCATATGCAATTACACGATTTATATAAACCACAACATTTCATTTATAATCATTTAAGAATATTACAAATATACCTTTCAAATTTATATGTAATATTATATATGTCGGAGTATCTAAGACAACAGCACCTGACCAAACATCGTAGTCCACACGTGGTAGAGATACAAAGAGTCATTGTTTCCACGCTGGAGCGTGTAAACAACAGTATTGCCAAATAACGTTGTCAGCACTTGGGAGAACAAGGACGGACACGTGTGCATGATCGGGGCAGCACATCTTCGGGGTCTTCAGGGAAGAAGGGTATTTCCCCCGGAGGAGTGGGAGTGGAATACGTCAGCCGAAGGATCAGTGGGAATGGATTGATTCACATTCAAGATTGAGATTCAGACTGGTGAACTGGAAGGCCACAGTAGCTGAGACTTATCGCTGATGTAGATCACTAGCTCTGAGATTGCAGAAGGATTAGTTTATTAACTGTTGTTAGTGGTTATTTGTAATAATGGCTTCTTCAAACGCCTCACTCGGGGAGCAATCCTGGCGATTCGACATATATTTCTCAATTTTCTTAACATTAAACATTTTATTTAAAGAAAATAATTTGTGTGCATACGATGTAAAAATTGACACATTTAATAATGTTATAATGTTTTTTTTTAATAAAAATAGATATAAAAGAAAAGTAAATATGACAAAAAGACAAGATTTTCATATGTTATTAATAACTCTTTAATAATTGGTACACATTTCGGATTTCCAATATTCTAAGAAAACTTATAAATTATTTTATATTATTATTTATTGTTTGATAAAAACGTTTGATTTCTCTTATTTTAAATAAACATCAATGTGGACTAGAGAGTAAAATTTATGTTTTGCAGGATTTTTTTAGAAATTGATGGCCAAAAGAAAAGTTGACGAATAAGAATATATATAGCAATCAAAACTCCTCTTCATTTCTTAAATCTCGAAGGCCTTGGTACAGCCTTGCATCATGTCTAAAAGACATTGAAAATTGAGAGGACAAATAAAATTTCTAAAGTTCTAGGAAATGCTTATTAATTATTATTAAGAAAATGATTAAGAAAATACAATAAAATTTAGGGTGTGACATTGGTGTCATGTCACAGGTTTTTTTTTAATTAAAATCTTTGACTAATTGTGACCTTAACGAATGTCTGCTGGATTATTGTATATACAGAGAAATTAATGAAATATTTTTACTTTAAATAAATTTATTTAAATTATTTCTGTGTAATTAATTTTAATCATGAATGGAAAATGTTACAAAAATATGAAATCAGTACTTTTTGTACTGGTTTACTACTCTCAAAAAAATGTATAGTGGAACTTCGCTTAACGAGTACCTCACATAATGAGCAATTTGCTTTACGAGCAAAATGAATTGTAAGAAAAATGACTCGCTTAACGAGCGACGTTTTGCATAACGAGTGACTATGAGAAGAGAAGTCCCGGATTGCGCGATTGTTACAACATTTTTAAAACTTGTGTACACATATTATATGTATTTTTGAATATGTTTCACTATACGAGTAAAAATCCGGAAATGTTGGAACGGATTAAACTCGTTAAGCGAGATTCCACTGTGTTTAAAAATGAGCAGTATTATTTATTTAAGTATTAGCATCTGATGTTGATAAAATCATTCATAAAACTTTAATATTTAGTTTACTTAAATGATTTTAATTTACTATAGTTAAGTATGAAAAAAATGAACTAATTTTCTTTAAAAAATGAGAAGATGATACAAATATTTTGGAAATTCATTTAAATATTCAAAAAATCAAACATTCTATTAAAATTGATTTTGTTTTGCAGATTTTCACGAAATCGATTGTTTTTAAGCCTTAATATCAATAAATGATAAATGAAGACATAATTTTCAGTAACATCTTGTTTTTTTTTCCTAAAAAAGATATTTTTTATATATTTTCAAGAAATCTATTGTTTTGAAACTTTAATATCAATAAATGATGAATGAAGACAGTATTTTGAGTAAAATCTTGTTTTTTTTTTCCTAAAAAAGATCAAAAATTCTATATAGGCTATGCAAAGGTTAGACTATTAAAAACTTGTTTTTGTTTTAAAGATTTTCAAGAAATCAATTGTTTTTAAGCCTTAATATCAATAAAGGATGTATGAAGACAGCATTTTGAGTAAAATCTTGTTTTTTTTTCCTAAAAAAGATATTTTTTATATATTTTTAATAAATCAATTGTTTTCAAACTTTAATATCAATAAATGACGAATGAAGACACAATTTTGAGTAACATCTTGTTTTGTTTTTCCTAAAAAAGATTAAAAATTCTATATAGGCTATGCAAAGGTTAGACAAAAGCTTGTTATTGTTTTAAAGATTTTCAAGAAATCAATTGTTTTTAAGCCTTAATATCAATAAAGGATGTATGAAGACAGCATTTTGAGTAAAATTTTGTTTTTTTTTCTAAAGAAGATATTTTTTATATATTTTTAAGAAATCAATTGTTTTCAAACTTTAATATCAATAAATGATGAATGAAGACAGAATTTTGAGTAACAACTTGTTTTTTTTTTTCTTAAAAAGGATCAAACAATCTACATCAATTGTTTTTAAGCCTTAACATCAATAAATGATAAATGAAGACAGCATTTTGAGTAAAATCTTGTTTTTTTTCTAAAAAAGTTCAAACATTCTATATAGGCTATGCAAAAGCTAGGCTATTAAAAGATTGTTTTTGTTTTACAGATTTTCACAAAATCGATTGTTTTTAAACCTTAATATCAATAAATAATGAACGAATATGACATTTTGAGTTACATCTTGCTTGTTTTGTTTTTTTTTTTTGCTTACAAATTAATTATATTAAATAATTCTATGACCTATCGCCATCTGTTCGTTTCTATTTTCAAAATTTTTCGACACTGACCCACATATATCTCCAATATCAGTGAATGCATGATCGTATATATTAAATCTCAGAGATATGTGAACGGCCACGAACCCAATTCGCATAGATTTTAGTTAATTAATTAATAAAATTTCAATGCATTATAAATATTGCATTTACTTAACAAATGTTAAATTGCGGACAAATTTCTTCTTAATAAATATGTATGTTCTTTGTACATATTTTTTATTGTTGTTGACCATAATAAAAGAAGCACTCAACATCAGCCCACATTATACATTTCAGAAACGTTTCGAGAAACGAATTCTTACCGATAAAATCATACTATTAGGTCTACAGAATACATCCTTGAGGCGCATGTATTCGTATTGTGTGCAACCGGATTCTTATAAACCTGTGTACATTACAAAAAAAATATATTTATTATTATTCTGGACGTTATTTGTGGATCCTCTTAGCATAAATTGCCATTTATTGATGCCTTCAATTCGCACATTCGCATTGCTGTATAGTTGAGTATCGCATCTAACGGTTTTTTATTAGTAATACAACGATATTTGTTATGTCGTAAAGAGCAGACGGCTAATGACCGCCAACTCTCATGTTTACATTTATTCAAATACATTTTCAAGTTGTTATTTTAAAGTTGTTGCTTATTTCTATTTCTAAATATAACAAATGTTTTGTATTTATTTCCAGTTTTAAAAATGGACAAAATCTAATTACAATTACGCTGTACTTTTGACAATTAATAAATATTTTTTTGACTTTTGTCAGTCAATTCGAATTTCGTACAAAACGTAAACCTATACTTTTGACTAGAATTAGAGTATTTATAGATACAATTAGCATGTTTTGTTACAGTATTACAACGTGTTTTTTACAGTCTGTTATAGCAAAATGGTACAAATAAATACAAATTTAAAAGTTTATAATTCTGTATTTGCTTATAGTGTTTATAGTTGTAATTGGTAAGTAATTCAATATATGAAGACATACATTGATAAATTGTGAAGATATATTAAAAATAATATTTTGACTACTTTGACAG